GGAGATCAGAATGTATCCTTGTAACAAAATTAAGTTACAGGAACATGAATGCTTTTGCCTTATAATGAATTACTATCTTGAGTTATGCTTAGTGCTCACACTGTCAAAACATGTTTCGGATGTGGACAGTCTGGTACAATGTTGACAAGTCAACTCCTGCAGCTTTGTTTACATGTGTGAAAAGAAAAAACTGAAAAGAGGATATTTTAAATATTATAGATAGTTAAATTTGCATTAGGTATGAATAAAGATCAGAGTTTTCTGTTTTTCACTCCAACTAATAATAGTAATTTTTTTAAATGGTCCTGAATTGGGGGTGTGTGTAAAATACTTCTTGAAGCACTAAGTATAAACTCCATTCAGTATTATGTACAAGTAGTCTATCACAGTTGCTTCAAATACTCTCAAGGGTCTGAAATTTTGCATGCTTTTAAGTTTGAAGCCTGGAACTCCGCTCTTACTTTACTGCTTTGTGCCACTTGTAAAATCACATTTTACGGGAGACTGAGATAAATGCCAGTGAGTAGCTTTTTAGTATATCCAATGAAATATTAACCATTGTATAAAAGGAATACCATTTTATATTGCAAGATGAGTGGCAAAACTTAGGGTATTAACCTCAAACATGCTGTTTTTATAGACGTGCTGATACCTAATTTTACTTCAGTAGGGGAAAAAAAACCCAGTTGCTTCATCTAGTTTACATTTCTGTGAACTGTCAGGTTATACTGATCAGTGTGTGTTTCTTCTTTTATTTATTTAGGATATATGATTCAAATCCTGAACAACCAAATATATTCCAGGTGGAGCAGCTGGAACGTCTGAAGAAAGAATTACCAGAGTTGAAAAGCTGTGTCTGTCCCACAGTTAGCCATTTTAAATCCATATCTCCATGTAAATGTCATCATAGTTGCCTGGAAGAGAAAGCTGTAGATAACTTGAAGAGTGTTCAAATGCAAAAGGACTGATCCGAAGCAGACTGCTGTTTTGTATCTATTTAATTTTTACCATGGGAATAGTGCTGTCTATGCCTTCAGATTTATTTATTTCATTTTAAAGTCCCAAAATAGCAATAACTGTGTTCCTCATTCCTGACAGTCCTTGTTAAAATTTCAAACAATGTTAAAATACTCATCTAGCTGTAGTTATTGTTCCAGTTTACATATGCAGTTTTGACTTCTTTTTGGTATGATCAAGTCTTATATCTTGAAAAATAAAATGAAGTGTTAACACTGTGGTTTTAAAAATATTAAGCAGTCTGAGGAGTGGAAGCTCAGAAACTAACTTGTAGGGAAATTACAATGACCGGATACTGATATGCTGAAACATTGTTTTGACTTTGATTTTACTTCAGTGCTACAGCTTTTCAGTCTGTATCTGACACAGAAAATTGAGTGATTGTAAGATAAATACAATTAGATCTGGCCTGCATAAATTGGTACCTCATATATATGTATATGCACTGCTAGATCCACCTGTACAGAGCTTTGTGCCATTTTAAAATTATATTTTTAAACTGCATTGCATATTAACTCTTTTTTTTCCCACTTCATTGGACATTTAGGCTGCTGCCATTATTTTCTGATTACCAATTCATTGGTACAGTGTCTGTGTATGGCAGTCAGGGGTGAACCACGAGTTTGATTTTTTTTTCATCTCACACAGGCCTGCAGAACTTTGGAAATGTTGCAAATAATTTTAACAGATATATAGAAACATCTTCAGTGCTTGAGAATATTTTCTGCACAGTAACCTTAATAAACGGAATATGTAATATGCACAAACTCCACAAAATGCATGCTTTAGTTATTAAGCATGAAACTTAGGTGTTTGCTGAGGTCCTTGCATCTTTATGGTGCTAGTTATGTGTGCAAGGACTAACTCAACTACTTAGTCTTTGCCTAAAACCACACGCCTATTATTTACAAATGTTTGAAGAAAAGGCTATACCATATGTGGTTTGCTTATTTACATAATACAAATTACTAGCTTTTGTATTTTGCAAGATTTTTTTTTTTTCCTTGGAGCAAGAATCACAAATGTACTGAATTCAGATAATCAGTGTTCTGTTGGCTGGTATCTACCCTCTGTAATTTATTACAAAGTCATAGTTTAGAGTTCTTAATAGATACGTATGCATGTCCTTTTTCCTCCTGAAGTCATGCCAACACAACAGCTGTAACTTTCTACTGAAGTGTTTATGTATCATAAGAATGGAAAATATTTATTTTTCTTTTGTAAATTGACAATGAGAACAATAGTGTGTACTATATTCTTTATATACAGTCATTGCTACATAGAACTGATTGTACAAAGTAAAGCCATCGCAAATAAGTGCTTGAGCCTGCACTGCTGAGCAGTTTGAAACAAACAGCTTGTTTCAACTTGCCTTGTGCATTTTAGTATTTAAAGTTTGTTGGTTCTGCACAAACAGCACAGTAATGATTAGGTATCTGGAAGCTGTTTTTTATTTAAAAAAAAAAATTAAACCAAAATTTGGAACTGTGTGAGCTGTGTTTTTGGGAGGGAGGGGGCACTGAACCTGATTGTTGGTATCAGGAACCTGTAGCTGTTATCTGATAGAGGAAGTTCAGATTCCTTACCTCTGTGATTTTTTTTTTTTTTTTTCCCTCATTTGTATATCCCTGTGGTGTTCTCTTGACAGATCTTGAGGGCTTTGCCAACAGATGTGCAACCTCTATCTGAGTTACATGTGTCACTGCTCATGAATGCTGGGCAGCACATCCACAGAGATATTTGACAGCTATTTTGTGTGAAGGTGCCTTAAAAGTTATGCTGTCTGAAGCACCCTTACCCACTAATCACGATGTGATGCTGGAAAGAATTTAGGCACCCTTGACAACTTGTTTTCCAGTTTTCAGATGCTCAGAGAATAGCATTTGCTTATTCTGTTTTGTGGGGTTGGAGGTGTAAAATCATCCCAAAGTGGCTGTATTTATTTCTAGATAGTTTTGAGCAGTGTTACAATTTTAATGTATTCTTACTGACCACTTTCTTTACAAGAAATCTGTGGCAGTCTTGACTGGGCTTTACCAGGCTTCTGCTGTGTCGCTTCTTAAAGCTGAGCTTGTAGCTTGGCCACACATAACGGCTGCTGTGCCATAGGTGCCAGGCACTGCAGCAGGGATCCAGGGAACCAAAGAGCAGGGTTGTGGGACCTGGTGCAGGGGAGTTTTGTTCAGCTAATACCTTACTGTTGCATTTAAGGTGGTGAATTGATTTGGTAAGAGATAAATCCCCTTGTGTTCTAGCTGGTCCTCAGAGATTAGAGGGGCTAGGGGCAGCTGGACCTGTCTCTTAATAGGTAGGTATGCCAACTGAGGCCATGACTATAGGCCTGGCACTGGATGCACAAACAGCCCATGTGCTGTAGGGCCGGTTGCATTCAAGAGAAGCAGTCAGGTTCCTGAATAGTATGGTTTATTTTTACGCAACATCTACAGATTCTTTAAGATTGCCTGCAATAAATACACAAGCTACAGGTTGGCTGTATAGCACTACACAAGGAGAAAGACAACTGCAATCACACACACTTAATTCCTGGGTAATCACTCAGCGTAGCCAAGGGCTCAAATCTTACCAAGAGGCATCCCTTTTTTTTGGGGGGCGGGGGGGGGGAGCACAAAGCCATTGATCTGTCCCTCTGACACCAGACATAAACTCGGGATTAGTATTTATCTGTAATGACACAGTACATTCCTTGGTGCAAGGGGTGTGCTGGTTTTTGTGGGAAAAGAGGGAGGATGAGAGAGAAGGTGGGCCAGGCTACTGCAAAAACCATCCTCGAGAGAAGGGAGAAAAGTGAAAGAAATCATCCCATCCTGTGTTCTGGGCACCCTGTGTCAAGGAAATGTGTGTTTTACATGTTTTTCTCCATTTTGTTTTTTCTCACTCTTCCAACACTAACCAAACCTACCAAAAATCTCCTCTTGTAAGGAAATGGTGTGGTGACAAGCAAAGACAGGCGCACCCACCTGTATTACTCTGTGGGCGTCCATCAGCTGGAAGGGCGGGGATAAGTTTTATGAGACTTCATCCGAGGGGGAAAAAATGATTCCTCAAAGAGAGAGTTGCCTTGTTGAATGCAGAGCTCTTCAAGGGAAACTGTACTGTTACCAAAGAGGGTTTCAGGTACTCTTATGAAATCGTTCCATTCCTACGCCCTGCCATGAGCACATGGCTACTCTGCCCTGATACCCAGCTGGGTGAAGGCTCCTTGGAAATGCCGGATCTCTGTGGAGACTTACACAGCCCGACTGCCCTGGCAGCTGCTCTCCCGCATGGCGGCAGCTGGTCATGAAGGCAAGCGTGTTGTTTGGTGAAAGGCAGCCATCAGTTTTCCACTCCTGTTTTTGTTTTCGTTCGGGGCCACCTAAAGACTAGACTGTACGTGACTCACAACAGCTGTGTTACTCCATACTCTGTCCCCTATAAATAAGCGGGAAGGGAGGATGAGAACATTGCCCCATACAACACAGCAGTTCAAGAATCTCAAGCTCCTGATCATCCTGCAGCAGAGAAGGCCTGTCGGGGGAGGGGGGAGCTGCCGGCTTCCAGCTGCCCTCCTGGCGCTTTCCCTCTGGGCTGTGGGTGCCGAATCGCTCACGGGCGGAGGGGTGTGTGGGGGTATGGTGTCTGCAGCTTTTCCTCCCGTACGGTGTGGCCGCAGCCCCCACTTCTGCGCCACAGCAATCCCCCTCTCCCCGCAGCCCGGCCAGGAGCGCGGCCGCGGGCTCCTGAAAGAGGAGGAGCGAGAGCTGCGCTGCAACTCATCCCGCCGCCAGCACCGACGGTCCCGCAGGGCGCCACCTCCTCCTCTTCACGGTGACGAGCGCCTTTCGCGGTGCAGCGCTCCGGTGGTGGCAGGGGCGTGTTTGCCCCCCGAGCGTACAAATATACTCGAACCCGGTCCCTAACACTTGT